TGAAGACAGGACTTTTGAAATAATCTAGTCAGACAAAAACAGAAAGAGAATAAAGCATAAAAAGAATGAATAAAACCTATATGATATATGGGACATTATAAAGTGACCAAATATTTAAATTTTGGGTGTATAAGAGGGAAAAGGCATAGAACACCTATTGAACAAAATAACTGACAAAAAAGTAACAGTAACTGAAAACTTCTCATGGCTAGGAAGAGATTTAGACATCCAAATATAGGATGCTCAGAGAATTCCAAATAGATAACAAGCCAAAAGGACTTCTCTAAGGCACATTATAGTCAAACTGTCAAAAGACAAAGACAAGGAAAGAATTCTAAAAACAGTCAGAGAAAAGCATCTAGTCACATACAAGAACCCCCTTATCAGACTAACAGTAGACTTCGCAGCAGAAAACTTAAAGGCCAGGAGAGAATGGGATGGTATATTCAGAGTGCTGAAAGAAAGAAACTGTCAGGCAAGAATACTATATTAGTTCATTCTCACGCTGCTGTACAGATACGTGGAAATTAAAGAATATGCTCTTGAACAACCACTGGCTCAATGAAGACCTTAAGAAATAAATTTTAAAAATTCTTGAAACAAATCAAACTGGAAACAGAGCACACCAAAACCTATGGGATACAAGAAAAGTAATGCTAAAAGAAAAGTTTATAGCAATAAATGCCTACATCAGGGCCAGGCGCAGTGGCTCATGCTTGTAATCCCTTTGGGAGGCCAAGGTGGGAGGATTGCTTGAGCTCAGGAGTTCAAGACCAGCCTGGGCAACATAGCAAGACCCCATCTTAAAAACAAGAAAATGGAAAACAAACAAAATGACTATATCAGAAAAGTAGAAAGATTTCAAATAAATAATCTAGGACTATACCTCAAGGAACTAGAAATGTAAAACCAAACCCAAAATTAGGTGGAAGGAAATAGCACATATCAGAATAGAACTAAATGAAATAAAGAAAGAAAAAAACACAAAGCATCAATGACATGAAAAGTTGTTTTTCTTTTTTGAAAGATAGTCAAAATTGAAAAACCACTATCTAGACTAACCAAGAAAAAAAGAGAGAAGGCCCAAATAAACAAAATCAGAATCATAAAGGAGATAAACCACAGAAATACACAGAAAAAGAATCATCAGAGACTATTATGAACAACTATATGCTAACCAAATTAGAAGACCTAGAGGAAATGGATAAATCCCTGGACACCTCACAGAAAAGGGTTCTGTCTTAAACAACTGTCCACATACAGTTCACCAGGAGTCATAGCAAAAACTATAATCAAGACTGGGCACAGTGGCTCACGCCTGTAGTCCCAGCACTTTGGGAGGCCAAGGGAGGTGGATCACTCGAGGTCAGGGGTTTGAGAGCAGCCTGGTAAACATGGGAAAACTATCTCTACTAAAAATACAAAAATTAGCCAGATGTGTTCTCTTGAACCCAGGAGGCAAAGGTTGCAGTGAGTTGAGATCATGCCACTGCACTCCAGGGTGACAGAGCGAGACTCTGTCTCAAAACAAACAAAGAAAAACAAAAAAACTAAAACTGTAAACAAAATCATGATACATTTCAGGATAAAATAAAATAATAAAATGGCTGATGGAAAAATAAAATGACATTAGAGGAGAAAGGACCAAGAAAAGGGGGGATAAGAACGAAGTTGGTCAGATGTGCTATGGGAGACTTTGAATTGACTATCTAGCCAAAAGTCTTATTTCCTGGCTCACCCAGTATTGTGGAGTGGGGGCAGAGTGGACACTCACCTATCTACAGAAGCCAGATCTCCAACTTGGGGCCTCCTCCAAGGCCAGGTCCCCAGGTTTCCCAGCTTGGGCCAACTCAGCTGTCACAGGGGACCAGTGTGGGGACCAGAAACCTATTGGCCTGCTGGTCAGAGTGGCAGGTTCCACATTACATGATGGTGCTGTGGCTGCATGTTCATCTGCTCAGCTCCATTGCCTGCGAGGGAAGACGAGAGTTCCTAAAAGAGTCCTTGACTAGCGTTATGGGCTTTGCAGTTTTGATCACCGTAGTGCTGATGGCTCTCTTGCTGTCTCTCATTAACTGCTGCCTCTCTGTCTCACCAATCATCATCCTGCTGACTGCTGATCACCACCTCATATGGGTTGGCTGTGTCCCTCCCCTCCCCTCCCTCCCCTCCCCTCCCTCCCCTCCCCTCCCCTCCCCTCCCTCCCTCCCCTCCCTTTCTCCTCTCCTTCCCCTCCTCTCCCTCCTCCCCTTCCCCCTCCCCTTCCCCCTCCCCTCCTCTCCCTTCTCCCCTTCCCCCTCCCCCCTCCCCTTCTCTCCCCCTCCCCTCCTCTCCCCCCTCCCCTCCCCTTCTCCCCCCTCCCCTTCCCTTCCCCCCTCCTCTCTCTCCCTCCATCCTTTCTTTCTTTCTCTCTCTCTTTCCTTCTTTCCATCATTTCCTTCCTTTTCTTTTTTTTTTTGAGACAGAGTTTCACTCTTATTGCCCAGGCTGGAGTGCAATGGCACGATTTCAGCTCACCAAAACCTCCACCTCCTGGGTTCAAGCAATTCTCCTGCCTCAGCCTCCCAAGTAGCTGGGATCACAGGCATGTGCCAGCACGCCCAGCTAACGTTTTATATTTTTAGTAGAGACGGGGTTTCTCCATGTTGGTCAGGCTGGTCTCAAATTCCTGACCTCAGGTGATCTGCCTACGTTGACTTCCCAAAGTGCTGGGATTGCAGACGTGAGCCACCGCGCCTGGCTGACCTGATGGTTTTATAAGGGGAAACCCCTTTCACTTGCCTCTCTCATTCCCTCTTGTCTGCTGCCATGTAAGACTTACCTTTTGCCTTCCACCATGACTGTGAGGCCTCCCTATGTTGAGCTGTGAGTCCAGTAAACCTCTTTTTCTTATAAAGTGCCCAGTGTCAAGTATGTCTTTATCAGCGGCCTGAAGCATACGAATGCACCACCTGTCTGTCTGCCTTTGATTACCACATCTCCATCACCCTCCAATCACCACCTCTCTGTCCCACTGACCACCGATCACCCATCGCCACCTCTTTCTGCCTTGCCAGTTGCCATCTTGCTGTCTTGCCATCTCTCACTGATTCACCTCTCTGCCCATCACCAATTGCCATCGTCTCTGCTGTCTTTCTAATTCTTCAGTGATCACCACTGTCTCGCCGTCTCACTGCCAATTACCACCAGCAGTGCTGCATCGGTCACTGCCTCTTGTTCATCGTCTTTATCCCTTCGTGGTCGCCAAAGGTTGCAGGACAGATGAACCCAAACTTGGGACTTAGCCTGGGAGGGTGCTTGGCTTCACTCAAGAAGAATTCAAGGGTGAGCCATGATGTCAGACAGAGATTTTTTTATTTAATGGGATTGCTCCTTGTGAAGCAAGGCTAACTCATAGGCAGGGCACAGAGTCAACAACGTACAAGCTTTTGGCAATTCTGTTTATACTCGTGTCAACCCACTTTCAGTTACATGTCAGTTAAGGAGTGGGTCCATGCAAATTGAGGGACAGTTTCTTTAGAATAGTTTCTAGGAAAAAGGCAGTGACTTCCAGGCTGTTTCCAGGGAAAGAGGTGGTAACTTCTGGGTCATCGCCATGGCATTGGTAAACCGTCATGGCACTGATGGGAGCATCCCATGCCAGTAAGCAATGAGGCAGCCAGGGATTGCTTTTGTTGCCATCTGCTGGTTCCTGCTGGTTTCTTCACATCATCTCATCTGGACCAGATTCTGTACGGTCTGCAGGGTTGTGACTAGAAAACACGTTTTGCCTGTCCCTACCTCGTTACCAAACAAATGTTATCATGAGGAGAAACTGGATTTGCGTCAGGGATCCCTAGGTTAGGGATTAACGTATGGGAAATCTCTTTCCTACATCTGCAACTTTTCCATAAATCCAAAATTCTTCTAAAATAAAAAATTTAAAAAATACAAAGTAAAGATTAGGTCAAAACCACTATTTGGTTATGATGCATGTATGTATTTTCTGTCTTTAAATTGAGATTTAACACATATGTGGTTACAGGCACATCTCTATGATCAAAATATAGAACATTTTCAGAATACAGACACTCCCTTGTCAACCCCCACCTGCTCCTTCCAGATAATTCCCATTCTGAGTCTCCTTCAAAGGTTTGTTCTGCCTGCTCTCAAAATTCATATAAAATTAAATCTTGGAGTATGTACTCTGTTTGAGTCCTTTCACTGTTTTGTGAGATTCATCTGCGTTATTAAATGTATCAGTACTTTGCTTTTTTATTGCTGTATAGTATTCCAATCTCTGAATATGCCATTATATTTGTTATCATTCACCTGCTGGTGGGCACAGGGGTTGTTCTAATTTCAGATTGTTCTAAATAAAGCTGCTATGAATCTTTTCTTTCCTTTTTGATATTGTTTCACTCTTTGGTTAAAAGTGTGCACTGTGGAGGCAGACTGTCTGGGTTAAAGTCTCAGCTCCACCATTTACCAGCGGTGTGACCTTGGGCAAGTTATCTAACCTCTCAGTGCCTCCTCAGTTGCCCCATCCGTGCGTTGGAGGTCATATGATCTACTGAAGAGGAGGAAGATTAAATGAATGCGTTTATAAGGCTGTTGGAAAAGTACATTCCAAAGTCAGCAGGAATCCCCAAAAATGAAGACAACAGCGGCCCAAGGCAGGAAAGCCAGGAGGTCACAATGGACAGTGCTTCCAGGAACTGGGGGTGCTACCTGCCCACCCTTGTCCTGGGTGGAGGGGGTATAACAAATTACCTTTCTCTTAGAATTTATCAGATTTCATTAAAATCATCCTACTGCTCAGCCATGCCATGAGTGGATGGGCCCTTCTCCCCGTCAACCAGAGACCATTCCCCACCCCCTCCCCGAAATTCTTGAATGATCCAGCCCATCTCATGTTCTGACCCCTTCCACTAGCCTTTTGGGTGATAGGTCCCTACCCGACTTCCTGTTTCTCTTCCTGTGGGAGAGTAGATTTAGGAAGTAAAGATTGCAGGGCGAGAAATAAAAGCTGTGGTCCCCAGCAGTTCTGGACACTGGGGGACACTGGGGGACTCTGGGGCAACATGAGTGACTCCCAGGAACCAAGATTACAGCAGATGGGCTTCCTGGGTGAGGCTGGGTTGGGATGCTGGGATTCTGGGAAGTGGGAAGAGATGGCCAGCCCTGGTCTCAGCCTGCCTAGGCTCTGAATTCATGTCTATCCATTCAGAGGAGGAAGAACTTGGATTCCAACAGACTCGAGGCTACAAGAGCTTAGCAGGTAGAGAGGAGTTAGCAGGCAGGGAGGAGAGAACAAAGACTCCTGGACTCCTGGGTCCTGGGACTGTGGGGCGTGGGGCCTGAATTCCTGGTCCCTGGGAAGGTGGAGGCTGGGCCAAGGCTCCTGGGTTCTGGTGAGATAGAAGTTGGAGACTGGGTTCCAGGGTCCTGGGGAGGTGAGGGCAGGGGCCTGGACTCCTGGGTCCTGGGGAGGTGAGGGCGGGGGCCTGGACTCCTGGGTCCTGGGGAGGTGAGGGCGGGGGCCTGGACTCCTGGGTCCTGGGGAGGTGAGGGCGGGGGCCTGGACTCCTGGGTCCTGGGGAGGTGAGGGCGGGGGCCTGGACTCCTGGGTCCTGGGGAGGTGGGGGCTTGGGCCTGGACTCCTGGGTCCAGAGAAATCCAGCCACCTAGGGAGGTGGGGGCTTGGGCCTTGATTTCTGGGACCTGGGGATGTAGGGGCTGGGACCCAGATTCTTGAGACCTGGGGAGGTGGGAGCAGGTGTCTGGGTTACTGGGATTTGTGGAAGGAGAGGCTGGGACCTTGGTTCCTGGGTCCTGGGGATGTGGGGGCAGGGGTCTGGGTTCCTGAGACCTGGGTATTTAGAGGCTGAGGCCTGGATTCCTGGGTCCTGGGGAGGTGGAAGCAGGTACCTGGGTTCCTGGGACCTGGGGAGGTGGGGGCTGGGACCTAAGCTCTTGGGACTTGGGGAGGGGGAGGCTGGGGACTGGGTTCCTGGGTCCTGGGGTGCTGAGGGATTGAGGCCAGGCTCTCCCCGGGCCAGGCACAGCTGGGGACACTGGCAGGCTGATGCACGTATCCTCTCTCAGGGTGTCTTGGTCACGGCCCCCTGGTGCTGCAACTCCTCTCCTTCACACTCTTGGCTGGGGTCCTGGTGGCCATCCTTGTTCAAGGTCAGGGGCAGGTTCTGAGGTCTGGGGTCCCCAGGCCTGGCCTTTTGGCTGTGAACAGAGCCCTGAGTGGCCAGGTCTGGGAGGGAGGTGGGGCTGAGAGCCAAGATGTTGTCCCTTGGGGTTTACAGAGGCCTCTCCCACAGCCCCTCCCCACTCTAGGGCAGGAGAGAAGGAGGAGGAGGAGGAGGAGGAGGAGGAAGGAAAGAACCTGGCTCTCCTTGGCCTTCTGTGTTGCCTTCTCTGGGTGTCAGTTTTCCTCCTCTTCAAAGTGGATTAAACAAGACCTTGGCTCTCACAAATGAGGTCCCTATGGGGGTCAGTTCAGGGCTTGGCACACAGTTGGTGTTTAATAATTGCAGTTCTTTCTTTTCTTCTTGGCCCAGTGTCCAAGGTCCCCAGCTCCATAAGTCAGGGACAATCCAAGCAAGAGGAGATCTACCAGGAACTGACCTGGCTGAAGGCTGCAGTGGGTGAGCTCCCAGAGAAATCCAAGCAAGAGGAGATCTACCAGGAGCTGACCCAGCTGAAGGCCGCAGTGGGTGAGCTCCCAGAGAAATCCAAGCAACAGGAGGTCTACCAGGAGCTGACACGGCTGAAGGCCGCAGTGGGTGAGCTCCCAGAGAAATCCAAGCAGCAGGAAATCTACCAGGAGCTGACACGGCTGAAGGCTGCAGTAAGTGAGTTGCCAGACAGGTCCAAGCAACAGGAGATCTACCAGGAACTGTTGCAGCTGAAGGCTGCAGTGGGTGAGTTGCCAGAGAAATCCAAGCAGCAGATCTACCAGAAACTGACCGAGTTGAAGGCTGCAGTGGGTAAGCTCCCAGAGAAATCCAAGCAACAAGAGATCTACCAGGAACTGACCCAGCTGAAGGCTGCAGTGGGTGAGTTCCTGGAACCAGGGATCCTTGGGCCTGAGATGGTCATTGTGTGGTGTGAGTTTGCTTGAGTCACCAACCCTATCTGAGCCTCAGTTTACTCATCTGTGCAATGAGAACACAGGGTAACTGTGATCATTGCACTCAGTGTTCACAGTGGGCCAGGTACACAGTAGCTACTCAGGTAAGCCTGTCCCCCACCTTCTGTTCTGAGCTCTAAAGCCCCTACTTCTCCTAGTCTGGAGGAGATGGGGCCAGGACTCATGCGTTCTCATGAAGATGGGGGAGGGACTCAGGAAGTGGGGAGGGAAATGGTCCACCCAGCATGGACAGTCAAGGAAGGGCTCTGATTCTCAAGGGCTTGAAGGTTGGGCAGATACAGGAATATGGGCAACTTGATCTGAGCAGGCTTTCCCAACAGAACGCCTGTGCCGCCCCTGTCCCTGGGAATGGACATTCTTCCAAGGAAACTGTTACTTCATTTCTAACTCCCAGCGCAACTGGCCCAACTCTGTCACCGCCTGCCAGGAAGTGGGGGCCCAGCTTGTCATAATCAAAAGTGATGAGGAGCAGGTACACCTGGTGGGGTCCCTGGCCTGGCCTGGGGCATGGCTTCTGGCCAACCAGAGAGGAGATTCTCAGAGAGGATTTTGCAGAAGAGGGGCTTTGCTCCACTTGGAAAGATGGGAGGAGAAGGATATGAATGAGGGCATCCCAAGTACCCTCTGAGCAGATACAAACTGGATCTGAATATGTGGAAAAAACATCAAATGTGGCGGGCTGCAGTGGCTCACGCCTGTAATTCCAGCACTTTGGGTGGCTGAGGCAGGTGGATCACCTGAGGTCAGGACTTCAGGACCAGCCTGGCCAACATGTTGAAACCCCGTCTCAACTGAAAAATACAAAAATTAGCCAGGTGTGGTGGCAGTCGCCTGTAATCCCAGCACTTTGGGAGGCTGAGGTGGGTGGATTGCTTGAACCTGGGAGGTGGAAGTTGCAGTGAGCTGAGATTATGCCATTGCACTCCAGCTTGGGTGATAAGAGTGAAACTCCATCTCAAAAAAACAAAACAAAACATCAAATGTAAGCAAACCCCAGTGGCGTGCTGCAAGTGTTTAACAACCAGCTCTCTGGGGGAAAAAATCCTGATGTGTCATGTTTGCCAATTTCCCTGGTGTAAATATTCCCACTGCCGCTAATTTCAAACATCAATGTGATGTCACTCAGTGCAGAGCTAAAAGGAGATGTTCCTGACCAGCAATTAGGAAACGGTTGGATTTGGCTCCAATACATTAAGCCCAGTTATGAGTAAATTTGTGTTGGCATGCATGGAACATGTGAAATGGATAGACATGCAGGATTAGCAAGAGTGCGTGAGGAGAGGCCAGCTGTGCATGGATGCCTGCATGTCAGGACACATGTGTTGTGGGATACACATGTGAGAGACTCAGACATGGGGGGGTGCTTAGGACCCAGAATATGGGAAGGCTGAAGGTTAGCCTACAAGCAGAACTTCCTGCCAAGAGATGGGGAGGTGGAGCCTGGAAAGTGGGAAGCAGAACCCTCTCCTGACTCCTCCTCTACCCTCCAGAACTTCCTACAGCTGCAGTCTTCCAGAAGCAACCGCTTGGCCTGGATGGGACTTTCAGACCTAAAGCAGGAAGGCACATGGCAGTGGGTGGATGGCTCACCTCTGTCACCCAGGTAGATCCCAGGAGAAGGGGACATCCTATCCAGTGGGGCTGGGGTCCTGAAACCTGACTTGAACTTTCCCTTGGGATCCTCCCCCACTCCCTGACACCCTAGACCCAAGAATCTGGGGTGTTTACTGAGTTGAGGAAGGTGGTCTTCATACCCACCTGCAGATGGCATGGCAGAGACCTGCAGGGGGAGCTTGCCTCGAGGGTGGGTGTGTTAAAATATAGTGTAATAATAGGAAATCTGAGGTCTAGTAAGGCCACCAGTTTAGGAGACAATTGCTATTGGGAATAGCTTCTCATATTCACAGCTCCCCAGAGAGAGAGAACACATCACAGCTGTGAGCCTCCTGGCCAAGCACCAGGGTCTTTTATGAGGCAGAGTGATGGGGAGTGGGGGGCTGTGGGCTAGAACCTTTATTATGGTTTATATGGAAAGGAAAGGTCAAGGTCAGACAAGCAGGCTTAGGATTGGCAAGTATGAAGCATTTTTGGGGCTCGGGGGCATAGGGGCTGCCTGATACCGGGGCTTGGGGTGATTAGCATAGGATAGTGACTTAGAGTACAAGAGCCCAATAAGGCAGGTGGTTGGGGGTGTGGACTCCAGGTTGGTTGAATTGTATTTGAAAATCACACCCTCAGTAGTGGAGTCCACCCAAGGACAGATTGTGACAAGAGAGGCAGGAATCAAGGCACTCAGGCATATTATAGGGAGTGCAGAGCAATTCATGGCCAGCATACACAGGCAGGGCCAACGTTGAAGCATCAAGATCACAGATTACAGAAGGTAGAAACAGCTCGTACAGTAGGCAGGGCAGAGGCTCACATTCCACATGGGCTTTGCAGCCTCAGGCGGTATTGGAACCAAGGAGAGCCCAACAATATCGGGGAGGAAGACTGCGCGGAATTTAACGGCAATGGCTGGAACGACGACAGATGTAGCGCCGCCAAATTCTGGATCTGCAAAAAGTCCGCAGCCTCCTGCTCCAGGGATGAAGAAAGGCTTCTCTCCTGAGCCCCTACCACCTCAAATCCCCATGCTGGGTAGCAGAATTTCACCCAGCTCTCTGGGGGAAAAAGTCCTGATGTGTTGTGTTTGCCCATTACCCTGGTACAAATATTCCCGCCGTGGCTGATTTCAAACATCAATGTGATGTCATTCAGTGCAGAGCTGAAAGGAGATGTGCGTGACCAGCAATTAGGAAATGGCTGGTTCTGGATCCAATGTATTAAGCCCAGTTAGGAGTAAATTTGGGTGGACATGCACTTTGAAGCTGCAGTTTCTTCTCTCCATCCTTGGACCTTCACAAAATCTCTGGGACTGTTCTCTGTCAGATTCATCCTCCTTTAGAAGGCTGGGTCCCATTCTGTCCTTCTTGTCATACTTCCAATTTCCCCTGGTGTAGAGCTTGTTTTTCTGGTCCATCCTTGGAGCTTTACAAATGAGCTGGTGTGGGATGCCTTTGCAGGGTGGGCTTGTGTCCCATGAATCTGCTCTCTCTTCCTTTAAGAGATAAGAATTGGTTGCCATGTGTAGTTTCCTTGTCCCCTGGGGCATTATCTCATACATCCAAACCTACCCTCTGTTCAACTTTCACCTACCCCCTCCTGCACCCCTTTGACTGGGACTTACTGGTTGCAAATGCTCATTTTACAGGCTGGAAACACCAGGGAATTGATTTCCCATCTACCAATGGCATCCCAAGAGGGCATGGAGGCTCCATGTAATCCCTTCCACCTCCCACACCTTCTTTGGTCCTATACATGGCTTCCATTGGGCTGTTTCTAAGTTGTAGCATTTATTAATATTATTATTTTTTGAGACAGAGTTTCACTCTAGTTGCCCAGGCTGGAGTGCCATGGTGCAATCTCGGCTCACCACAACCTCTGTCTCCCAGGTTCAAGTAATTCTCCTGCCTCAGCCTCCCCAGTAGCTGGGACTACAGGCATGTACCACCACACCCAGATAATTTTTTGTATTTTTAGTAGAGATGGCGTTTCTCCCTGTTGGTCAGGCTGGTCTCAAACTCTCGACCTCAAGGTGATCCGCCCATCTCGGCCTCCCAAAGTGTTGGGATTACAGGTGTGAGCCACTATGCCTGGTCTATTATTTTTTAAAGAATAAAACAAGTTTATTTGGATCTGGGAGTCTGAACAGTTCTGACTCTACGAACTGATGTCCTCCTGCCACGACTTCGGGATCTAGAGGAACTTTGGCTCTGGCTGCAATGGCTCCTGCGGCTCTGGCTCCAGCTGCCCCGGCCCCTGCTGTGGTGCCTGTTTCTTCCTCTACTTTGAACCGTGCCTCTCCTGACTCACTGATGTGTGCTTGTGAGATTTCTTCCCCTGTGACTACTCCTTTTCCTCTCGGATTCCCCATTTCTTTTGTAGGAGTATTCGTCGTGGTGGCCCATCCTCTCCCTCCTCGGAGTTCTTGCCAAAAGAGGAGGCAGTCCGATTCAGAGATAAGCAGATGTGTCTCTATTCACTTCCCAGAATTCACTGATGGGATTTCTGAACACAGGGAGAAAATTGCAGTGTTTTCCTGTCGGATGTTGTTGTTTTTCAAACGAACTACAAATCGCCATTTTCCACCGGATCACTGGGCAGAATTCACACTGAAGGTGTGGTCCTGTATACCATCGTTTGTTAAACAGAGAAAGGGCTGCTTGTTATTCTGCTTCCAACTGGTAGTGAACATATATATTGCCCCTCAGGTGAGGTTTCAAGTTGCAGCTGACCCTGAGCTGAATCACTCTCCCCACGTTCTTGAACTCGGGCAGCACATCCTCATAGAAATCTAGGAATTGTGGGTAGGTTTCTTCCTTGCTGTCCTCCAGGATGGCGTCAGGGTCATAGTCATTCCTCCTACACTGCTCCATCCCAAACATTATAAACATGGTCTCAATAAGAAGGGTAGCAGCACTTTGGGAGGCCGAGGTGGGTGGATCACCTGAGGTCAGGAGTTCAAGACCAACCTGATTAACATGGGCAACCCCGTTTCTACTAAAAATACAAACTCCCAGGGCGTGGTGGTGCATGCCTGTAATCCCAGCTACTCGGGAGGCTGAGGCAGGACAGTCGCTAGAACCTGGGAGGCAGAGGTTGTGGTGAGTTGAGATCATGCCATTGCACTCCAGCCTGGGCAACAAGAGCAAAGCTCCATCTCAATAATAATAATAATAATAATGGCGGGGCTGGATGTTGGGAAATTATGTTTACGTGAACATCCATCTCCAAATCTGCAAGCTCCTGTTTTGCTCTAGAAGGGACAATTAGCTCCATCCTTCTCCCTTACTCTGAAATTCGCGGCTGATTTTTGGATTTTGCCATGTGGAGCCATTTTCCAACTCATGTTCAGCCTGATCCAGCATCTTCTGCACAGCTTCTGTTTTTCTTTCTTCTCCTGTCGTTTCTGCTCCTGCTCTTCTCTCTCTTCCTCTACTGTTCTTCCCATTGTTGCTTTAACTTTCTCTCTTGTTCTTCTTGCTGTTTTCTAGCCGCTTCTTCCTTTTCCGTCTTTATTCTGAATTCTTCTTGTGCTTCCTGCTTTCTCAGCAACCTTTCTCTCAAGTAATCTTTGCCTCTCCTTTTCCAATAGTTTCTCTTCTAGTTGTTCTTCAATAAAAGTCTCCTCCTCCCTCCTCCCCTCCGCCTCTCCCTACCCTCCCCTCTTCTCCCCCTTCTCCCTCTCTCCTCTCCCTCCCCTCCCCTCTCCCTCCCCCTCCCCCTCCCTCTCCCCCTCCTTGTCCTCCTGTGAGAGTCCTGAGTCTCTCAGTCGAACAAGTCCCTGCCGGTGTTTCTTTGGTTTCTCCTTCTTCAGGGCAGCCCTGTACTTTTTGTGGCGTGGTTTCTCTGGAAATATCATCTTCTTGGGCGCAGCCATCTTGCCGGCACCACCCCGCCCCCCAGTTGTACCCTTTTATCATAAACTGGCAAACATTGTAACCGCAGATCCAGCCCAGTCTTTGTGTAATAAAATGGCAAGTTGTTTTTCAGTTGCCATGGACCCCCAGGTAGCAAGTTACTACCCGTGAGCACGCCCAGATTTGAACCAAATGTGTGAACCCAGTTAGAACCTACGTGCTCAGACCGAGCAACAGGGACTGAGTTAAGAAGTGGATATCACATGATCCGTGATCCAATCAGATTGAGCCCTGGCATTACTCCTTGGTGTGATCCAATCAGATCAAGCCTCCTGAATTCCCTCATTAAAAGATCCAATCATATCACACCTCACTACCCTCTGTGTATAAAATCGGCCACAGCTCCCAGCTTGGAGAGACGGATAAGGGCCAGACGGCCGTGTCCTTGCTTGGCTGCCTTGCGATAAATTTTTCTCTCTACAAAACCCCAGTGGTTCAGCGTCTGGTTTTCCACTGTGAGCAGGCAAACTGAGCAATTTAGTTCGGTAACCTAAGCATAATGTTTTTCTGAGTTCTCTAAATCATTCTAGGAAATTACTGAACCTGAGAGGAACTTGGGGAACCCCCAATTTTTTGCCAGCCTGGCAGAAGTGTGGATAGACCGTGCAAAGGCAGTGTCTTTGCACCTGGTGTCTGAAGTAGGGTCAGTCTTTTGGGACCTAGCCCTTTCACTTGTGGAATGTGGTGCTAACTCCAGGAAGCTAGTGTTAGATAACTTTTTTGGTGTAAATAAGACCCCATTAAAATTCACTTCCCTTCTACTGATGTTGACCTCAAAGATGGTCCTTCATAGACAGCTTGCAATTTCCATCTTACTTAGAGTTGATGGAAATTGTTCTTCAACGGGCTGAGGAACTGTGAGGCTTGTTCTGTCAGCTCCCAGAGGCTCCCAGGGGAATTGAGCCCAGTTGGCATTTTCAGTCATAATAAGCCCATTGATGCCTTTGCATTGGGTTCCTTCCCTTTTCTACCTGCTTCTCTTCATTTTTCCCATCCCCTGCTGGTGCTTCTTGGAATCTCCTCCCTGATAAGCTACTTATATCCAAATCCTTGTCTCAAGCTCTGCTTTGGGAGGAACTCAAGCCAAGCTTATAATATATTTTGATAATTACCAGGCATGGCTCTTTTTGAGTGTGAGACAAGCCTCTGCCACCCAGGCTGAAGTGCAGTGGTGGTGCAGTCATGGCTCACTGCAGCCTTGATCTCATGGGCTCCAGGGATCCTCCCACCTCAGCCTCCTGTGTAGCTGGGACCACATGTGTGCATCACCATATCTAGCTACTCTTAAATGTTTTTTTAGAGATGGTGTCTCACTGTGTTGCCCATGATGGTCTTGAACTCCCAGGCTCAACTCATCCTCCTGCCTCAGCCTCCCAAAGTCCTGAGTTTATAGGGATGAGCCACAGTTCCCTGCCTGGTTATGGCTCTTCTCTATCAAAATGTTCTCCAGTATTTTTGTGCAATTTTTAGATGATTTTTTAATCTATTCTGGCTTTAAAGGTTTTTATTTACTGTGGAATAAGTCATGTGTGCACACAGAACCACAGCATATCAGTCCCTATGGTGAAAACTAAGGCTCATTCTGTTCCCATCTTCCCATTTCAAGAGGTTACTGTCCCCAGTTGTAGCTTTGCTATTTATTCCCAGCTAAAGAATATAACCTCTTTATTACATTCCAAATAATGAGCTTGTCAAGTTTGTTTTAAAATCTATTTGGAAATCCTTCAATGGAATTTTGAAAATCTACCTGTGAGTAGGTGGAAACCAAAGGACTTTTAATTTTTTTAAAGACAGGGTCTTGCTGTGTTGCCCAGCCTAGAGTGCAGTGATGCAATCCTGGCTCACTGTAACCTCAGACTCCCAGGTTCAAGCGATCCTCCTGCTTCAGCGTCCCAAGTAGCCAGGATTACAGGCACCTGCCACTGTGCCCAGCTAGTTTTTGTATTTTTATTAGAGACAGCGTTTCACTACGTTGGTCAGGCTGGTCTTGAACTCCTGACCTCATGATCCTCCTGCCTAAGTCTCCCAAAGTGCTGGGATTACAGGCATGAGCCACTGCACCCGGCTTTTTTTTTTTTTTTTTTTGAGACAGAGTTTCACTCTGTCACCTAGGCTGGAGTGCAGTGGCACAATCTCAGCTTGCTGCAACCTCTGCCTCCTGGGTTCAAGCAGTTCTCCGGCCTCAGCCTCCCGAGTAAGTGGGACTACAGGCATGTGCCACGAGGCCTGGCTAATTTTTTTTTTTTTTTTTTTTTGAGATGAAGTCTCGCTCTGTCACCCAGGCTGTAGTAAATCTCAGTTTATTGCAACCTCCATCTACTGGGTTCAAGTGATTCTCCTGCCTCAGCCTCCTGAATAGCTGGGATTACAGGTGCCCACCACCACACCCAGCTAATTTTTGTATTTTTAGTAGAGACGGGGTTTCATCAGGTTGGCCAGGCTGGTCTTTAACTCCTGACCTCAGGTGATCCACCCGCCTTAGCCTCCCAAAGTGCAGGGATTACAGATATGAGCCACCTCACCCAGCCTCATTTTTGTATTTTTAGTAGAGATGGGGTTTCACCATTTTGGTCAGGCTGGTCTTGAACTCCTGACCTCAGGTGATCCACCTGTGTTGGCCTCCCAGAGTGTTGGGATTACAGATGTGAGCCACCGTGCCTGGCCTAGACGGCAACTTTTATTGAAGTGGCCATGCACAGCAGCAGCAGAGATACTGCTTCTTTCAGAGCAGAACTAATCCACAGACAGTGTGTCTAGAGTAGCAGCCCAGAAACAGTTCTGTGGCATATTTATACCCTTTTAATTATGTGAAAATTAAGTGGCAAATTATGCAGAGATTTCTAGAAAAGAAGTGGTGACTTCCAGTTTGTCTGAGTTATCGCCATAGAAAGGAGCAGTAATTTCTGGATATTGCTTTGGCAATGCTCCAAAGAAAAGTCAGCACTGGGACAAAGGATCTCTCAGCAAGGCAATCTTTACTTCTTGCAGAAAAGGTATTTTTATCTTGCAGAAGATAAATATGACTGCTTTTCCTTTGTTCGTTGTACTCTTGTGTTAAGATAGCTAACAGAAGCACCCTTTCTGCAGAAAGTAAAGATTGCCTTGCTAAGAGAACCTCTGTCTCAGTGCTGATTTTTCTTTGCAGCATCAAGCATCTATTTCCAACACAATGGTGAACTGACAGGGCACTCTAGTGGCATGTCTTTATGGAAAGCTGCTTCAACCTTGGCCCTGTTTCATCTAGTCATCAATTGGGTCTGGTGTCTGCACCCCACCTCTGGAGCTGATGAGCCTGACCAACAGTTGAGACCAGCCTGACCAACAAGAAGAAATCCCATCTACTAAAAACACAAAATTAGCCAGGCATGGTGGCAAATGCCTGTCATCTCAGCTACTCAGGAGGCTGAGGCAGGAGACTTGCTTGAACCTGGGAGGCAGAGGTTGCCAGGAGCCGAGATCGTGCCTTGCACTCCAGCCTGGGCAACAAGAGCGAAAACTCCGTCTCAAATAAAAGCTTGCATAGGTAAATGCTAACAGCTGTGCCAATAGAAAAGGTAGTCAGGTGTAACCAACATGGAGGCTCCCTCTTTTCTCTTCTTTGTCAACCACCGCCACAGGAAAGCGCAGGCAACGGGGTGCCAGCCAGGTAGAGAACCGTCTGCATAACAAAGGATTAGGGTGGGGCCGTCAGCTTCTTCACGCTATGCAAATGACACACCTGGTTCTACCAATCTCTTGTCCCCTATGTAAATCAGACACCGCCTCCTCAGGCTCATCTGTGAAACCCTGTGCATTTCACCAAGGAACTGGAAGACCCACCCAGGATCCCCCTCTCTCTGCAGAAGAGACAGCTATTCTCTTTTTGCTTTCTTTTGCCTATTAAACCTCTGCTTTTGTTTTTTTTTTTTTGAGACAGGGTCTTGCTGTCATCCAGGCTGGAGTGCAGTGGTGCAATCTCGGCTCACTGCAACCTCTGCCTCCCAGGTTCAAGTGATTCTTTTGCCTCAGTTTCCCGAGTAGCTGGGATTACAGGGACGTGCCACCACGCCCAGTTAATTTTTGTATTTTTAGTAGAGACGGGGTTTCACCAGGTCAGCCAGGCTGGTCTCGAACTCCTGACCTTAAGTGATCCACCCACCTCGGCCTCCCAGAGTGCTGGGATTACAGGCGTGAGCCACTGTGCCCGGCCCTAAACCTCTGCTCTTAAGCTGACTCCTTGTGTGTGTCGGCACTCTCAATTTCCTCGGCGTGAGGCACCCTTGGTGTTACCCCAGACAAATGCCACTGGTTCATTACAATGAGATAGTTTGTAATCAATCTTAAAAAATAAATAAAATTTAGACACATGCTACAACATATAGATCAACCTTAAAACTATCATGCTGAGAGAAAAAAAGCTAGACACAAAAAGTCACATATTGTACAATTTTATGTATATGAAATATCCAAATTAGGCAAATCCATAGAGGCAGAAAGCAGATTAATGGTTACCAGGGGTTGTTGTAAGGGAGAATGAGGCAGGTGTGGATAGGTTTCCTTTAGGGGTGTTGGAATGTTTTGAAACTCGAGACGATGGTTGCACAGCCTTGTGAATGTACTGATTTTTTTTTTTTTTTTTTTTTGGTAGAGTCTTGCTTTATCACCCAGGCTGGAATACAGTGGTGTGATCTCAACTCACTGGAACCTCTGCCTCCCTAGTTCAAGCGATTCTCCTGCCTCAGCCTCCTGAGGAGCTGGGATTACAGGCATCTGCCACCATACCCGGCTAATGTTTGTGTTTTTAGTAGAAAAGAACAATGAGGAAAAGAGTTAATCTGTAATTTAAGAAGCAGAATTATGAGCATTCTCAACAAGCTACATGACTCCAGGGCATAACTTCCCCCTTGGCATCCTAGATTTAGAGTCCTGAATTTTTCTTTCTTTCTCTCTTTCTCTCTCTCTTTCTCTCTCTCTTTCTCTCTCTCCTTCCTTCCTTCCTTCCTTCCTTCCTTCCTTCCTTCCTTCCTTCCTTCCTTCCTTCCTTCCTTCCTTCCTTCCTTCCTTCTTTTTTTTAAGACTGACTCTCACTCTGTCTCCCAGGCAGGAGTGCAGTGGCGAGATCTCGGCTTATTGCAACCTGTGCTTCCTGGGCTAAAGCCATTGTCCTGCCTCAGCCTCCTGAGTAGCTGGAATTACGGGTACTCGCCACCAAGCTTGGCAATTTTTTTGTATTTTTAGTAGCAGCAGGGTTTCACCATGTTGGCCAGGCTGGTCTTAAACTCCTGACCTCAGGTGATCCACCCGGCTCGGCCTCCCAACGTGCTAGGATTACTGTGCCCAGCCTATGAAATGTTCTTTTCTTTTACAAAGTACATTCATGTTGTCGTGCAATCATGACCACCATGCATCTTGCAAACTTCTTCATCTTCCCAAGTGAAACTCTGTCCCCAGGAAACACTCACTCCCCATTTCCCCCTCCCCAGCCTCTGGCACCCACCATTCTACTTTCTGTCTCTATGAATCTGGTGACTCTAGGGACCCTGTATGAATGGAAGCCTTTGTCTCATTATGGCTGGCTTACTTCACTTAGCATATGTCCTCAAGGTTCATCATGTCATAGCATGTGTCAGCATGCCCTTCCTTTTTAAAGGGTAAATAATATGTCATTGAATGGTTATGTCACATTTTGTTTATCCATTCCTCTGTCAGCAGACAGTTGGATTGCATCTGCCTTTCGGCTCTTGTGAATTACGTTGCTGTGAACATGAGAGTGCAAATATCTCTGAGTCGTTGCTTTCAATTCTTTTTCTTTTTTCTTTTTTGGAATCAGGGTTTCCTTTTCCTCTGTCACCCAGCTGGAATGCAGTGGACACAATCAGGGCTCCCTGCAGCCTCAACCTTCCTTGCTCCAGTGTTCCTCCCACCTCAACCCCATAAGTAGCTGGGACTTTAGGCATGCACCACCATGCTCCGCTGATTTTAAAAATTCTTTGTAGAGATGGGATCTCCCTGTATTGCCCAGACTGGACTGGGACTCCTGGGCTCAAGCAATCCTCCTGCCTCAGCCTCCCAAAGTGCTGGGATTACAGGCCTGAGCCACCAAGCTCAGCCTTTGCTTTCTGTTTTGTAAATTTAATTTTATTCAACTTTAAGTTCTGGGGTACATGTACAGAATGTGCAGGTTTGTTACGTAGGCATCCATGTGCCATGGTGGTTGCTGTACCCATCAACCCATTATCTATTTTTAAGCCCTGCATACATTAGGTATTTGTCCTAAAGCTCTCACTCCCCTTGCCTCCCAACCCCCCACAGGCCCCAGTGTGTGATGTCCCCCTCCCTGTGTCCATGTGGTCTCACTGTTCAACTCCCACGTATGAGTGAGAACATGCAATGTTTGGTTTTCTGATCCTGTGTTAGTTTGCTGAGAATGATGGTTTCCAGCTTCATCCATGTCCCTGCAAAGGACATGAATGCACACCTTTTTATGGCTGCGTAGTATTCCATGATATATATTTATGCCACATTTTCTTTATCCAGTCTGTCATTGATGGGCATTTGGGTTGGTTCCAAGTTTTTGCTATTGTAAGCAGTGCTGCAATGAACATACATGTGCATGTGTTTTTATAGTAGAGTGATTCATAATCCTTTGGGTTTATACCCAGTAATGGGATTGCTGGGTCAAATGGATTTCTGGTTCTAGGTCCTTGAGGAATCGCCACACTGTCTTCCACAGTGGTTGAACTAATTGACACTCCCACCAACACTGTAAAAGTGTTCCTATTTCTCCACATCCTCTCCAGCATCTGCTGTCTCCTGACTTTTAAAGGATTGCCATTCTGACTGGCGTGAGGTGGTGTCTCCTTGTGGTTTTGGTTTGCATTTCTCTAATGACCAGTGATGATGAGCTTTTTTTCATATGTTTCTTGGCCGCATAAATGCTTTCAATTCAAGGTGAGATTTGTGTGGAGACACAAAGCCAAACCATACCAAGCATGGACTGTTTCTTCATTTGTTGGTGCCGTCTGATTTCTTTAAGCACTGTTTAGTAGTTCTCCTTGTAGAGATCTTTCACCTCCATGGTTAGATGCATTCCTAGATAATTGTGTGTGTGTGTGTGTGACTACTGTTAATGGAATTGCATTCTTTTTTTTCTCTTGAGATGGATTCTTGGTCTGTCACCCAGGCTGGAGTGTAGTGGTGCGGTCTTGGCTCACTGCAACTTCCACCTCCCTGATTCAAACAATTCTCTTGCTTCAGCCTCCTGAGCAGCTGGGATTACAGGCATACACTACCACACCCAACTCATTTTGTATTTTTAGTAGAGATGTGGTTTCACCATGTTGGCCAGGCTGGTCTCAAACTCCTAAACTCAAGTGATCTGCCCACCTCGGCCTCCCAAAATGCTGGGCTTACAGGCGTGAGCCACCGCACCTGGCTGGAATTGCTTTCTTGATTTGGCTGTCAGCCTGAATGTTGGTGTATAGAAATGTTACTGATTTTTGAACATTGATTTTTTTAATGCTAAAACTGTACTGAAGTTGTTTATCAGTTCCAGGAGACTTTTGGTGGAATCTTCAGGGTTTTCACATGTGGAATCGCGTCATCAGTGAAGAAAGGGAGTTTGACTTCTTTTCCAATTGGGATACCTTTTATTCTTTCTCTTGCCTGATTGCTCTGGCTAGGACTTCTGACATATATAGTTTTTATTCAACTGCTGGTGGCCACACAGGTTGTTCCAATTTGGAAATAACCAAATTTAGGAATTTGGGAACAATTCGAAGACATTATGAATCTTTTTTTTTTTTTTTTTTTTTGAGACAGTCTCTCTTTGTCACCCAGCCTGGAATGCAATGGCAGGATCTCGACTCACTGCAAGCTCTGCCTCTTGGGTTCAAGCGATTCTTCTGCCTCAGCCTCCCGAGTAGTGGGGACTATAGGCACGCGCCACCACACCTGGCTAATTTTTGTATTTTTAGCAGGGACAGGGTTTCACCATATTGGCCAGGCTGGTCTCAAACTCCTGACCTCACGATCCTCCTACCTCGTCCTCCCAAAGTTCTGGGATTACAGGCATGAGCCACCGCACCCAGCCCAAAGCCATTATGAATCTTTTCTTTCCTCCTTGATGCCATTTGACTGTCTTTGGCTAACAGTTTTAGCCGTGGAGGCAGACCATCTGAGTTCAAACCCCAGCTGTCCAGTTTACCAGCTGTGTGACCTTGGGCCAGTTACCTGACCTCATTGTACTTCGGTATCCCCCATCTGCAAAATGGAAATCATATGATCTACCGGGGGTAGGAAGATTCAAACGAATGAGTTTATAAACTTGCTTGAAAAGTGCTTGACTGTTACAGGCGTTAAATAAACAAGCAATTATGATTCAGCCCCAACTCCCAAAGTCAGCAGAAATTCTCATAAATGAGGACATCAGCAGAGCAAGGCAACCAAGCCTGGTGGTCAGGGGAATGATGGTTCCAGGAACTAGGGGCACTGCCTGCCCATCCCTGTCCTAGCTGGAGGGGCATAACCAAGTCACTTTTCATGCAAACTTACTGGATTTCATTAAAAGCATTGCACAGCTCAGCGATGCCATGAGTGGACAAATCCTTCTCCCTGTCAACCTCAGACCATCCCCCACCAGCTCCTCGAAACTTCGGCAAGTCAGGGCCATCTCATGCTCTGCCCCCTCCCACTAGCCTTTCGGGTGTTACATCCCTCCCCAGTTTCCTGTTTTTCTTCCTCCACAAGAAGAGATTTAGGGAGTGAGGATCATGAGGTGGGAAATAAGAAGTTCTGGACATTGAGGGACAGTTGGCAAACATGAGCGACTCCAAGGAACCAAGGGCACAGCCACTGGGCCTCTTCGGTGAGGTCGAGTTGGGGCTCTGGGGTCCTGGTTTGGGGAAGGGGAGGGCCAGACCTGGCCTCAGCCTGCCCAGGCTCTGAGTTCTTGTTTATCCATTCAGAAGAGGAAGAGCTGATAACCAGCGGTATGAATTTTTTTCCAAGAGACTTTGGATTCCGACAGACTCGAGGCTACAAGAGCTTAGCAGGTAGAGAAGAGTTAGTTGGAAGAGAGGAGGACATAGAGCCTCCCAGACTCCTGAGTCCTGGGGAGCTGGTGGCTGGAGCCTGGACTCCTGGAACCCGGGGAGGTGGAGGCTAGGGCCTGGGTTCCTGGGTCCTGGAGAACTGGTGGCTGGGGTCTGGACTTCTAGGACATGAGGAGATAGGAGGTAGGGGCTGGGTCTTGTGGAGGTGGGGGGTGGGGCCTAGATTCCTGGGACCTGGGGTGGAAGGAGCTGGAGCTGCACTCCTGGGTCCTACAGAGGCAGGGGCTGGGGTCTGGACTACTGAGACTTGAAGAGGTGGAGGCTGGGGGCTGGGTTTCAGGGTCCTGGGAAGGTGGGGTTTATGGGCTGGGTCTTGGGGAGGTGGGGTCTGGGGGCTTGGACTCCTGGGTCTGAGGGAGGTGGAGGTTGGAGTCTGGACTCCTGGGACATGGAGAGATGGGAGCTTGGGCCTGGGTTCCCGGGTCCTGGGGAGGTGAGGGCTGGGGCAGTCACTCCCAGGATCTGGGAGGGCTTCATTCCTCCACTCCTGAGTCCTAGGGAGGTGGAGGCTGGGGTCTGGACTCCTGAATCCTGAGGAGGTGGGAGGAGGATCCTGGACTCCTGGGTCCTAAGGAGGTGGGGGCTGGGGCCTGGGTTTCCCTGGGCCAGGCTGAGGCTTGGACATTGGCATGCTGAAACCAAGCAATGTTTTCTCCTGCAGGGTGTCTGGGCCATGCGCCGCTGGTGCTGCTGCTCCTCTCCTTCACTCTCTTCACTGGGCTCCTAGTGGCCATCCTTATCCAAGGTCAGCTGCAGGCTCTGAGCGTCCTGTCCTCCCAGGCCTGGTTCTGCTGTAGATGGCCAAGTTCAGGAGGAACAAGAGCCTAAAAGCTGGTCTTCTTTCCCGTTAGGTGTCTAGGGGCCTCACCCCAGGACCGCTCCCACCTCCAGGGTGGGGGAGGGAAGGAGGAACCTGGCTCTCCTGGCCCTTGCGTGCTGCCATCTCTGGGTGTCAGTTTTTCTTATCCACAAAAGAGTTTAAGCAAGATTTTGGTGCTCAGAAATTATATCCTTAGGGGCCAGTGCAGGGCATGGTACACAGCAGGTGTTTCTAAGGCTGGGCGTGGTGGCTCATGCCTATAATCCCAGCACTTTGGGAGGCCAAGGTGGGTGGATCATGATGTTGGGAGTTCGAGACCAGCCTGACCAACATGGTGAAATCCCATCTCTACGAAAAAAAAAAAAAAAAAATTTAGTCAGGCGTAGTGGTGTGCCTGTAATCCCAACTACTAAGGAGGCTGAGGCAGGAGAATTGCTTGAACCCAGAAGGCGGAGGTTGCAATGAGCCGAGATTGTGTCACTGCACTCCAGCCTGGGCAACAGAGCAAGACTCCATCTCAAGAAAGAAAGAAATAAATAATTACAGTTTCCTTCCTTGCTCAGTCTCCAAGAACCCCAGCTCCCAGAGGCAGGAGCAGTCTATGCAGGAGACCTCCCAGGATCTGGCCCAGCTTAAGGCTGCAGTGGGTGAGTGGACAGATGGCGGGGTGCTGGGCCTGGGAGTGTTTCCATGTGGTATGACTTTGCTTGAGTCACAGACCCTCTCTGAGTCTCAGTTTTCTCCTCTGTGAAATGAGAACACAGATTAACAGTGATGATCTCACTCAGTGTTCGCAGTGGGCCAGGTATGTGGTAGGCACGCAGTTAAGCTAGCTAGTCTCTCATCTTCTGTTCTGAGCTCTAAAGCCCTGACTTTTCCTAGTCTGGAGGAGATGGGGCCAGGACTCCTGGGTGCTCCTGGGGATGGGGGAGGGTCTCAGGAAGTGGGGAGGGAAATGGTCCACCCAGTGTGGACAGTCAAGGAAGGGCCCCTATTCTCAAGGTCTTGAAGGCTGGGAACACACAGGAACATGGGTAACCTAATCTGAGTCCACTCATGACCAGCGTCCCCCAACAGAACGCCTGTGCCGCCCCTGTCCCTGGGAATGGACATTCTTCCAAGGAAACTGTTACTTCATGTCTAACTCCCAGCGCAACTGGCACGACTCCATCACTGCTTGCCAGGAAGCGGGGGCCCAGCTCGTCGTGATCAAAAGTGATGAGGAGCAGGTACACCTGCTGGGGGTCCCTGGCCTGGCCTGGGGCATGGCTTCTGGCCAACCAGAGAGGAGATTCTCAGAGAGGATTTTGCAGAAGAGGGGCTTTGCTCCACTTGGAAAGATGGGAGGAGAAGGATATGAATGAGGGTGTCCCAAGCACCCTTAGAGCAGATACAAACTAGATCTGAACACGTGTGAATGTTCTGGGGAAAATATGAAATATAAGTAACCCCAGTGGTGTGCCGCAAGTGTTTAACAACCAGCTCTCTGTGGGGGAAAGTCCTGATGTGTCATGTTGGCTAATTTCCCTGGTGTAAATATTCCCGTGGCAGCTGATTTCAAACGTCAGTGTGCAGAGCTGAAACATCGTGCAGAGCTGAAAGGAGATGTTCCTGACCAGCAATTAGGAAACGGTTGGATTTGGCTCCAATACATTAAGCCCAGTTATGAGTAAATTTGTGTTGGCATGCATGGAACATGTGAAATAGATAGACATGCAGGATTAGCAAGAGTGCGTGAGGAGAGGTCAGCTGTGCATGGATGCCTGCATGTCAGGACACATGTGTTGTGGGATACACATGTGAGAGACTCAGACATGGGGGGGTGCTTAGGACCCAGAATATGGGAAGGCTGAAGGTTAGCCTACAAGCAGAACTTCCTGCCAAGAGATGGGGAGGTGGAGCCTGGAAAGTGGGAAGCAGAACCCTCTCCTGACTCCTCCTCTACCCTCCAGAACTTCCTACAGCTGCAGTCTTCCAGAAGCAACCGCTTGGCCTGGATGGGACTTTCAGACCTACATGAGGAAAATACGTGGCAATGGGTGGATGGCTCACCTCTGTCACCCAGGTAGATCCCGGGAGAAGGGGACATCCTATCCAGTGGGGCTGGGGTCCTGAAACCTGACTTGAACTTTTCCTGGGAATTCTCCCCCACTCTCTGACACCCTAGATTCAAGAATCTGGGGTTTTTACTGAGTTGAGAAAGGTGGTCTTCATACCCACCTCCAGACAGGATAGCAGGTGCCTAAAATTCCACCAGCAGAGCTGCAGGAGGAGCCTGCCACCCAGGTGGGTGTGTTAAAAGATAGTGTATCAGACTGGGTGCGGTGGCTCATGCCTGTAATCCCAGCACTTTGAGAGACTGAGGTGGGTGGATACCTGAGGTCAGGAGTTTGAGACCAGCCTGCTCAACATAGTGAAACCCCATCTCTACTAAAAATACAAAAATTAACCCAGTATGGTGGCACACACCTGTAGTCCCAGTTACTCAGGAGGCTGAGGCAGGAGAATCACTTGAACCTGGGAGATGGAGGTTACAGTGAGCTGAGATTGCACCATGGCACTCCAGCCTGGGTGACAGTGCAAGACTCCATCTCAAAAAGAAAAAGAAAAAATAAAAAAGAAAGGATGTGTATTAATAGGAAGTCTGAGGTGTAGTAAGGCCCCAGCTCAGGAGACACCTGCCATTGCAACCTGTCATATCGACACATCCCTAGAGAGAGGACACATCACTGCAGATGAAACACCAGGTGAGTCATGAGGCAGAGAGTGGGGAGTATCAGCCAGAGCTTTTATTTTAGATTCTGTGGGAAGGAACAGACAGGGCCAGGCAAGCAGGCTTAGGATTGGCAGGTATGAATCATATATCGGCAGGCTCTGGAGGGAGGAGGTTCTGTCCCTAGCTGCTTGACACTTGGCTTGGGTGGATCACCTGAGGTCAGGAGTTCGAGACCAGCCTGGCCAACGTGGTGAAACCCTGTCTCTACTAAAAGTACAAAAATTAGCTGGGTATGGTGGCAGGTGCCTGTAGTCCCAGCTACTTGGGAGGATGAGGCAGGAGAATCACTTGAACCCAGGAGACAGAGGTTGCAATGAGCTGAGATCATGCCACTGCATCCAGCCTGGGTGACAAGAGTGAGACTCTGTCTCAAAAAAAAAAAAAAAAGCATTGACCAATTGTCCAGGTGAGGTGGCTCACACCTATATTCCCAGCACTTTGGGAGGCTGAGGTGGGTAGATCACGGGGTCAGAAGATCGAGACCATCCTGGCTAACATGATCAAACCCCGTCTCTACTACAAATACAAAATTTAGCTGGGCATGGTGTGTACTGCCAGCTACTGGGGAGGCTGAGGCAGGGGAATCTCTTGAACCGGGGAGGCAGAGGTTGCAGTGAGCTGAGATCACACCACTGCACACCAGCCTGGGTTACAAGAGCGAGACTCCATCTCAAAAAAAAAAAAGCATCTAGATTACAGAAGGTAGAAACACAGCTCATACAGTAGTCGGGGGCAGAGGCTCACATTCCACATGGGCTTTGCAGCCTCAGGCGGTATTGGAACAGAGGAGAGCCCAACAATATCGGGGAGGAAGACTGTGTGGAATTTAACGGCAATGGCTGGAACGACGACAAATGTAGTGCCGCCAAATTCTGGATCTGCAAAAAGTCCGCAGCCTCCTGCTCCAGGGATGAAGGGTGGCTTCCCCCCTCCGTGTCTGCACCCCTGACTGCCCACGCAGCGTAGCTGAAATTCACCACTCTTCAGCCAGGTTTCCTCCTCTCCATCCTTGGACCTACAGTCTCTGGGACTGTTCTCTATCAGATTCTTCTTCTTCTTCTTTCTTCTTCTTCTTCTTCTTTTTTTTTTTTTGAAACAGAGTCTTGCTCTCTTGCCCAGGCTGGAGTGCAGTGGTGCCATCTCGGCTCACTGCACCCTCCACCTCCCAGGTTCAAGTGATTCTTCTGTGTCAGCCTCCTGAGTAGCTGGGATTACAAGTGTGCACCACCATGGCCCTCCAATTTTTTGTATTTTCAGTAGAGATGGGGTTTCTCCATTTTGGTCAGGCTGGTCTCGAACTCCTGACCTTGGAATCTGCCTGCCCCTGACTCCCAAAGTGCTGAGATTACAGGCATAAACCACCACACCTGGCCAGATTCTCTATTTTTGTTTTGTTTTGTGAGACAGGGTGTCTGTTGCCCAGGCTGAAATGCAGTGGCACAATCACTGCTCATTGCAGCCTCAGCCTTTTGGGCTCAAGCAGTTCTCCCACCTCAGCCTCCTGAGTAGCTGGGACCATAGGCCTGTGTCAAGCCCTGCTAATTTTTAATATTTTTTTTTTTTTTTGTAGAGACAAGGTTTTGCTTTATTGCCCAAACTGATCTGGAACTCCTGAGCTCAGGCGATCTGATAGTCTTGCCCTCCCAAAGTGCTGGGATTACAGGCATGAGCCACTGTGCCTGGCCTCTGTCAAATTCTTCATCCTCTATGGGCCTGGGTCCAGTCTGTCATTCTTCTAATGTATCCAAGGTCCCCTAGTGTAAAGTTTATTTTTCTGACTCATTCTTGGAGCTTTATAAGTCACCTGGTGTGGGATGCCTTTGGAGGGTGGGTTTGGTGTGTTCCATTAATCTACTCTGTCTTTCTTTTGGAAATTAGAGTATTTGGATCGCCATGGGTAGCTGCCACATCCCCTGGGGGCTTTATCTCATCCATACAAACTACCATCTGCTCAATTTCTGTCTACCAGCCCCTGCACCCCTTTGACTGGGGACTTGCTGGTTGCAAGAGCTCATCTTGCAGGCTGGAAGCACCAGGGAATTAATTCCCCCAGTCAACCAATGGCACCCAGGGAGGGCATGGAGGCTCCACACAACCCCTTCCACCCTCACATCGTCTTTTCTCCCATGCATCTCTTCTCTTGGGCTGTAATAAACTGGTAAAGAGTGTAACCACAGAACTAGCCCAGTCTGGTTCGGCTTTGTGTAACAAAATGGCCAGTTATTTTTCAGTTGCCACAGATTCCCAGGTTGCAATTATGTACCTTGATCATGCCCAGATGAACCAAGCCAGCAGGCGCGGGCAGAACCTAAGGGTTCGATCCAACTAACGGGGACTGAATTAAGAAGCGGACATCACATGGCATGATCTATGATCCAATCAGATTGTACCCTGACATCATGCCATGGCATGACCCAATCAGATCAAGCCTCCCACATCACCTCATTACATGATCCAGTTAGGTTACACCTCACTACCCTCTGTATATAAAATCTGTACCAGCCCCAGCTCAGAGAGACAGATTTGAGCCAGACTCCTGTCTCCTTGCTTGGCTGACTTGAAGTAAACTTTTATCTCTACAAAATCTATTTCCATTTACACATCGGTAAACAGACCCAAATCAGTTTGGTAAGGGCATAAGAAAAATGTTTTCCTGAGTTCTGTGAGTCATTCTGGCAAATTACTGGATCTGAAAGGAGTTGTGAGAACCCCCAATTTTTGTTTGGCAAGTGGAAGTATAAGTGGCCTGGGCACTCCCTCTGTACCTCAGATCTGAAAAAGGATTCTTCCTGAGGAACCGGGCTTTGTAACTTGTGGAATGTGGTGCTAATTCCAGGTAGCCAGTGTTAGAGAATATTTTGGTGTAAAAAAAGACTCTACAAATGCTACCTCCCTTCTACGAGTGTTGACTGCACGGACATTCCTTCATAAACAGTTTGAAAGCTGAATTCCATCTCATTTAGAGTCAACCTTCAACAGAGAACGGTACTGTAAGGCTTGTCTGTACCATGTCCCTGGAGTGCAGAGGCTCCCAGAGGGACTGAGTCCAGTTGCCCACATGGGTCATAAGCTCACTGGTGCCTCTGAATCGGCTTCCTTCCTTTCCCTACTTGACTCTTTTCACTTCCCCCTCCTCTGCTGGTGCTTCTTGGAATCTCCTCCCAGATACACTACTTGTATCCAAATCCTTATCTCAAGCTCTGCATCTGGAGAAACGCAAGCCAGCTTATAATATTTTGATAACTGATAGGCATGGCTCGTTTGTGTGTGTGTGTGTGTGTGTGTGTGTGTGTGTGTGAGAGAGAGAGAGAGAGACGGTCTCACTCTGTCACCCAGGCTGGAGTGCGGTAGTATGATCACAGCTCACTGAAGCCTCAATCTCCCAGGCTCAAGCAATCCTCCCACCTCAGCCTCCTATGTAACTGGAACTAGAGACATGCACCACCACACCTGGCATTTTTAAAATATTTTTTGTAGAGACATGGTCTGGTCTGGGACTCTTGGGTTCAAGAGATCCTCCTGCCTCAGCCTGCCAAGTAGCTGGGATTACAGACGCGCACCACCACGCTGGGCCAAGTTTTGTATTTTTAGTAGACACAGGGTTTCGCCATGTTGGTCAGGCTGGTCTTGAACTCCTGACCTCAGGTGATCCACCTGCCTTGGCTTCCCAGAGAGCGGGGATTACAGGCATGAGCCACCACACCCGGCCAAGAATCAGTTTTCTTCCCCTTGGGAGCAGTATCAACCCCATTGACAATGCATGGAAGAGAGTGTGGAAAGGCAACAATAGTGACTCCATAGTGGAGAAACCTGGTAGATAGCCACGTTCACGTGGCTATCATATACCGCCCCCCGATAGGAGGTGATTAGAAGGGCACCTCACCTTTGTCATATTCTTAACTGCAAACAGACAGCCTCACTCTAATCATCAGCAAACACTAGAAAAGCCCAGGTGTGATGGCTCATGCCTGTAATCTCAGCACTTTGGGAGGCTTAGGTGGGTGGATCACCAGAGGTCAGGAGTCCGAGACAAGCCTGGTCAACATGGTGGAACCCCATCTCTATTAAAAACACAAAAAATTAGCCAGGCATGGTGGTGAGCGCCTCTAGTCCCAGCTACTTGGGAGGCTGAGGCAGAAGAATTGCTTGTACCCAGGAGGCAGAGGCTGCAGTGAGCCAAGATTGCACCACTGTACTCCAGCCTGGGCAGCAGAGTGAAACACTCTCAAAAATAAAAAAAGGGCTGGGCACAGTGGCTCAGCACTTTGGGAGGCTGAGGTGGGTGGATCACGAAATCAAAAGATCGAGACCATCCTGGCCCACATGGTGAAACCCCATCTCTACTAAAAATACAAAAATTAGCTTGGTGTGGTGGCGTGTGCTTGTAATCCCAGCTACTGTGAAGGCTGAGCAGGAGAACAGCTTGAACCCGGGAGGTGGAGGTTGCAGCGAGCTGAGATCATGCCACTGAACTCTAGCCTGGTGACAGAGCAAGACTCAATCAAAGAGAGAGAGAGAGAGAGAGAGAGAAACTAGTAAAACCCAAACCATACACCCTTCAACACAATGCCTGATTGATACTTTTTAAATCTGTCAATGTCTTGAAAGACAAGCAGAGACATGAAAACTGCCATCCTTTAGAGGAGATGGAGACGTGATGACTGACATTGCTGATGGTCATGGTGAGACCTTCTCGGTTTAAAAGAATTTAAACAAGGAACACACAGCAAAAGAAGTGCAGCATAGAGGAATGTATTCCCAAAGAAAAAGAATAGTTTGAAAGTTAAGTGCCAGAATAGACCTGCACCCTGAGAGAGTTCAGTGAAGGCTGCTCTTAAGGGTGAGTGCCAGAGAAACTGCCTTTTTGGGAGTTTTACATGGTTATTCATAAGGAGGTGGGAAGAGACGAGGCGTTACAAGCATGTTCTGGGTGGTCTTCTGGGTGCGCATGTGCAGTAGCTGCACGTGCTTATTCTTGTCTGGGGGACATGCGCAGTAGCTTGTATATGCTTGACCCGTATCTCATTAGCATTTTTTTTTTTTTTTTTTTTTTTTTGAGATGGAGTCTCTCTCTGTTGCCCAGGCTGGAGTGCAGTGGCAAAATCTTGGCTCACTGCAACCTCCGCCTCCCGGGTTCAAGCAATTCTCCTGTCTCAGCCTCCCTGTTGGCCAGGCTGGTCTCAAACTCCTGACCTCGTGATCCACCCGCCTCAGCATCCCAAAGTGCTGAAATTACAGGTGTGAGCCACTGTGCCCAGCTTATTAGCATCTTAAAGCTCTACCAGGGATGTGTTTGTTTGTTTGTTTGTTTGTTTTTTACTATTATTATGAGCAAGGGGTCAGTTTGAGGACAGAAAAAATTAAAATGCACATGCTCTCTAAAAGCAAAAGTCCCAGCTGGGTATGGTATCTCACGCCTGTAATCCCAGCACTTTGGGAGGCCAAGGTGGGCACATCACTAGGTCAGGAGTTTGAGACCAGCCTGATCAACATGGTGAAATCCCGTTTCTACTAAAAATGCAAAAACATTCACCAGGTGTGGTGATGCATGGCTGTAGTCCCAGCTACTTGGGAGGCTGAGGCATGAGAATCACTCAAACCCAGGAGGCGGGGGTTGCAGTGAGCTGAGATTGTGCCACTGCACTCCAGCCTGGGTGACAGAGCAAAACTTTGTCTCAAAAAAAAAAGGACAAGTCCCTGGTCTCTGCATCCCAAGAACATGGTTGTTTCCTTGACTACCTCTCCCACCTCAATACGAGCTAAATTGTGTTTCCCCTGCAAATTCATATGTTAAAGACCTAACCCCCAATACCTTAAAATGTACCAGTATCTGGAACAAGGTGATTAAGTTGAGCGCATAAGAGTGAATCCTAATCCAGTGTGACTGGTGTCCTTCTAAATGGGGAATGTGGACACAGACACACAGAGGGAAGACAGTTGAAGACACAGGGAGAATGGGGCCAGG